AAATAAATAAATATAATCAACAAATAAAAAAAATAAATATGTACCGATGACATGACGTCACGATGACGTAGTGAGGACATCGGAAAATTATATTATAGATTATATTTTACTATATCAGTTTGCGATCAAATTCTATGTTAAAAATATACCAATATCACTCACTAAATATTTATATTAACAGTTGAATCTTAATTGGCTTTTATTATTTAAAAATAATTATATAACCCTAATTAAATTAATATAATCATTTATTAATTGAAAATTAACAAATTTAAATGTAATTAGCCAAGTTTAACATCACTAATCAACTATATTGTTGATTTTTAAATTTAATTATCATGTCTCTTTCTAAAATATTTTCAAGGTCCAAATAAAAATAAGTATAAGAGATTTATTTATAAAATGAAAGTAGACATATAGTTTATAATTCTCTATTATATATAATTATTTATAAATAATTAGGTAAAATGCCAATTTTGCAAACGTATTTGACAGTTATATTATATATTACAGTTAATATTTTTAAAATTTTACTAATCAATGCTTTTGATAATAAATATAAGTAACAATTTGCATTTAACTATTTAACGCCATCTATTTATTTAAAATATTATTATAATTAAACATCTTATTTCATCCCACAATGGATGTAATAAATTAGATATCTTTTCTTCTCTTTTTTATGTGTTTTTAGGAAAGCTATTTTTCTTCTTCTTTGAAAAACAGTTTTGATTTAAATTTTTAATACGAATATATTTTAGATATTATTACAAACAACTATTATTTTAAGATATAATATACCAACTAGAGATGGTGCGACAATAATATATAAAATTTTAATTGCTTTCATGATATCACTCTGGTTTTTATTTTATAGTTACAAAATGTTTCATTTCTAATATGTCATCCTTGGGGTGTAAATAACTCAAGGCTTCAATATATTTGCATAATTTCTTCTAAAGATTTTTAGTGTTTTTGTTTCATCAATTCTAACATAAATGAATTCCCATCGTGAGTGTCATGGCTATGACTGTAAATTAACCAGCATTTATTATTTGTGTGGCTATGTAATTTATGATTATTACTACCGGTAAGCGGAAAATAATTCCCCGGAAAAAAATTCCCCAGAAAAATAATTCCCCGAAAAAAAATTCCCTGGAAAATAATTCCCCAGAAAAAAAACCCCGGGAAAAAATATCCCCTGGAAGATAATTCCTCGGAAAATAATTCCCCGGAAAAAAAATCCTTGGAAAATAATTACCCGGAAAAATATTCCCCTTGAAAAAAATTCTCAGGAAAAAAATTCCCATAAAAAATAATTCACCGGAAAATAAATTCCCCATTTTTTAGATTTTGAATTAAATATGGGGGAAAATTAATCCCCGGAAAAAAAACCGGAAAAAAAACCGAAAAAAATTCCCCGAATAATTTTTTTAAAATTATCAAAAAATAATCCCGCTGCTAAAATAACGAAAATATTTCTAAAAAATTATGTTAGTATTTTCTGAACGTTGAGAGTATTTCTTTTTTAATTCCAAAAGGGCAATCTTTAAATGAGAATTGATAAATCGGTTGGTAGCTTTTATATTTTATAATTTAGTAGATAGCATAAAAAGAATAGATTTGTGACGATAGATTTTTATAGAAATATATAAAAATTATGAAAGAGGTTTTATAATTTAAAATCAAAAGAAAAATGTGAAAGAAATTTTTCCCTAGAAAGAGAAAGGTTATTTTCATAATCCACTTTTCATCTAGACTTGAATATCATGAAGGGGGGGGGGATTATTTCTAACACGCCACTAAGGTTAAAATATATATAACATTAAAATGAATATTATGACACTATTCTGTTCCGTTCGTTTATATCAGTTTGAATCCCGGACAAAATAACATAATGGAAATTTTTTATGTATATTATTGATTTTAAAAATTGTATCTGATTATACATTTTCAAAAAAAGTATTGATCCTAATCACTGATTACAAAAGCTTATTTAATTCAAAAACTCTCAAGTAATTGAACGCTACCAAAAAATATGGTGAATTCCATATCAAATCAACCAAGGTTTCAACCCCCCTCCTTCAATTTTTCTTAAATTTTGTATACTGGTAGTATATACTATAACTAAGAAAAAAATGAAATTTTACCTTCCAACACTGTTTACCCGCTAAGATATGGCCATTTAAAGCGCGGAAAAATGGTACATTTTTGACAAAATACATCTCATTTATTTTCAAATATCTAGAGAAATAATTATGTTAGAAAAATAATTTAAATTTTTAAAAGTTCTTTAAAATGACATAAAAATATATGATGGACATTTTATTAATATCAAAAACCGGATGTGTAAAACCGGAAATGGACATAGAAAAAAAAGGTATTTTTTTTCAAAATTTCTTTTCTGTAGATAGATATCACACTGCTTTATATTTGTACAAAATCCTTGACAGGGATGAACATGGGTTAAGGAGTTATTACTCTTTATATGGCTAAAATTGAACAAATTTAACATTAATATCATCATATTTTAATTTAATGAATAGTTATGAAATAATGTTAATTTAAAAATTATGTCTAAATGACAGGTCCTTACTTTTTTTTATCTTTATCAAAATTTTTAAGAAGTGGCTGGAATAATGAGCTTTGTTTAACACTTTAGTTAAATTTTGTCTCGAAGTTACTTGACAAAATAATTCTAAACATATTTATAACTTTATTTGCCTCAAATTGCATTACATATAATACAATCAAAAATTTATAATTAAATATATCATATATAATTATCCAACGAATTTTAATAAATTATGACTTTTGTTTTCGTCTAGAGGAATAAAAGCTTGGAGCTTTGTGTTCCAGAAATTCTCTTTGCTTTCAAAAATCTGCTTTCAAGATGACTTTCTATATTCATTTATTATTATTGCTCACAAATATATAATTTACCCCATAGATATTATTTATTGCATAGTTAAATAAATCTATTGCTGTCAATATGTGATGTTCATATGGACGTTGCTAGCTTGCTCGAGCTGCTAACCGTTTAGTAACGGCCCCCAAAATGTCGCATGGACTTTTACCTTGTGCAGTTTCAAAAAATGTCACTCAGCCTATCCCAAAATCATTTTCATGATTGTAGAGATTAATGAATTCTTTTATTTTTATATTGGTTACTGCTCCATCAGAAAAATAATAAATTTTAGCCACTCTATTAAATCTTTCCTTCAAATTTTTTTTCCGGGGATATTTTTTCCTATATTGTTAATTTTATCCTATAATTTAATATTTTATAGGATTTAAAAAATGGGGAATTTTTTCCGAGGAAATTTTTTCCGGAAAAATAATTTCTATGGGAATTTTTTCCCATAGAATTATTTTCCAAGGGAATTTTTTTCCGGGTATTTTTTTTCCGGAGCATTATTTACCTGGGAATTATTTTCAGGGGAATTATTTTCAGGGGAATTATTTTCCAGGGGAAATTATTTTTCTGGGGATTTTTTTTCCTGGGAGTAATCTTCCGGGGAATTTTTTTCCAGGGAATTTATTTCCCGGGATTTTTTCCAGGGATTTTTTTTCCGGGGAATTATTTTCCTATATTTATTACTACCGCTGCTGAGAGCATATGATTGCATATTTTAGATATGCAATAATGATCAACTCTATAGTCGTTTACATATCATTAAAAATGGAAGATAATTATTTTGAAATTTAATATCTCATAATAATTTTCTCGATTACTTATCTAGCTTACATCATTTCATCTAAGTGGAAGCTCTAACTACCATATAGTTTTATGATTTGGATTGGTCGTTTATATTCTCTTCAAGAATTGTTAATTTGGTAAGGCCTATAAATTTTTTCTTATTAGTCCATTCTATAAAACATTGTCTAAAATGGTAACAGAGAGTTATATTAGTTTCATGACCTTTTGTCAATGTAAGTTGCCTAGAATTATATAAACCATTATTAATTGAGGCATATGTATGAATAAATTAACCTTTTTAATCACTTGTAATTCTTTAGACGCAGATTTTTTTATATCAACCATCGAAAATATTTTATACTGTAATAAATAGATTTTGTATTAAAAAATGTTATTTGTAAATATGTCTTGTATTGTTTTAATTATTTATATGTTAGTTTATGCAAAATATAATATGACAAATAATTTTAGTCTCATTAAAATAATAAAGTAAACTTAGCAACTCAAGCTGTAAACTTGAGTAAGACTATAAATTGTAGTCGTTTACTATACCCTGCTAAAAACAAGCAAGTACACACATTTATTATTTGTTAAATAGGATTAAATATTATAATATTTAATAAAAGATACTGTTATGAAATTCAGAATAATTGTTTAGAGTAAGAAAATTTTAAAAAAGTATAATAAATTTAGGCCCGCAAATTGGAAGTATGGGGGGCGAAGCCCCTAATAAAATTTTTTTAGTTGAGCCCCTGAGATTGTAAAGGCTAGCGACGCCCCTGCATTAATCTAAAAAAACAAATACCTATTATCAAAAAATAAGGTATATATATCTTTCATATTAAATGCAATTTGATTAAACAAAAATAAAAAGTATCAAAATATATTACAAAAATATTTTAAACAAAAGCAAGGTTACAAGTTAAAATAATCGTAAATTTTTTTCAACATATTAAATAAGGTTATATTCAAATTAGTGATCTACATCGGGCCTAATTTTTTAAGCCCGGCCCGGCCCGAAATTTTTTTTTATTCATCTCAAAGTAAAAATTATTTGTCCGCCCGATAGAAATTGATTTTTTTTAGCTTTTAGTTTATTTTTTATATTTAACATTTTGTATTTTCTTAGTAGACACTAGACAGACAATTTATTTAGTATTTAATTATTTATTTAAAATACTATCAAAAATACCTATAAACCAAACAAATAATAATTATAATGTTAAATTACACAACTATATATTAGATTCATATTTATAATTATCATTTAAAAATATCAAAGCATCAACATTTTCAGGTTTCAGTCTATTTCTTCTAATAGCCTTCCATTTTTTGAAAAAGTTCTCTCTGACGTTGTGGACGTTGCAGGAATAGCTAGAATTTTTCTAGCCAATTTCGTCATCTTTGGTAATCTAATTTCATTTTTGCTCCACCATTTTAATATATCTTTTTCTGGATCTATATTTTCTATATTCTCTTTTATATTCAAATTCTTATAAATTTCAAGCTCATCTGTTTCTTTTTTTTTCAAATTCTTCCTCATTGTCCTCCCATCTTTCATATTCATTGTCTGATATATAAAGATAAATAGAACAATTTTAAATGTACCTTTAGATCTTTTAGGAGATTCCACAATTTGAGAAACGCCTTGTATATCCAAATCTATAATATCAATTGAAGGCTTACAATATTCTTCAGAATTAATTATATTTTTGACTGAATTTTTCACTTCTAATATTTCCATTGATGATAACATTCTTAATTTTCTATATCTGGGGCATAAAAATGTCGCTATTTTATGCAAAATATCGATTTTAAATTTAGATAATAAAAAAATTTTTAAATTGGTTTTTATTTGTTTTATTTCATTGTTTTGAAAAGTTTCATTTAAATCCTCGTGAAGAATATTATTAAAGCATAGCAGTACTTTATATAAAGTAGGATTAATATCTCCTTCTAGTTCTTTAGTAGCTTTATCAAAAGGATGTAAAATATCAATCAAATTTTTTAAAATAGATTTCTCCAAGTTTTCCATTTTATAAATATCTCTCTTGGATGATAAAAAATTGGCGATGTCATCATATTGGTTATAAATAGATTTCAACATATATAATTTCGAATTCCATCTTGTTTCGATATCTTGTTGTAATGTTTTGTCTAAATATTGATTCATGCCGCTTTGTTTAAAATACATGGTTCATTTTTTAGCAGAAATAAGGGTTTGAGATATATTAGGAGCGATAATTTTCAGATTGTTCCTTAAAGGTATTTCAAAGAACTGTATTTAACAGATGTGCGCTGCAATTTATTCTTATTTTTCTAGGGCTTTAATTATATTAGCTCCTTGATCAGATATAAATATTATATTTTTCACTTGATCGGGAATTATTCGAATTGCAGCATAATTTTGTAGCATTTCCTTATGTATGTTCGCGACGGTTTTTCCTCTTCTTTAAACTTACTCGTAAATAAAACATGTTATATAAGGTTTCACCTTCGATATAATGAATTGAAACAGTTAAATAGGAAAACTTTTTAAAGGAATCTGTCCACATATCAGTGGTGGCAGAGCACTTTTTATCAAATAATTGAACATTTATTTTATTAACCAAATTTGTTCAAATTTGATCCGTCATAACTATAGCATTTCTTGATAAAGTAATTGGATGGGGAATAATTTCGCTACAGTCAATATTACCGTAAATGGAGCCAATTTGAATAAAATTTTGAGCCATTTTTATAAAGCCATCTCCAGTTATCGAATCAAAGGCACGCATGTCCTTGGCGCAATAATAGATCATGGTATCACATATTTTCTTTTTAATAGTTAAGGAAGAATTTATATCTATAATTTTCTTTTGAATATATCTAGTTATTTTAGGAATAGAGGAATCGTCATTCTTAACGCACTTGTGACGTCTTAAATGAGAATTTCCAGTTGTACTTTTATATTGTAATATCGTCGGTCTAGAATTGGAGTGCTCCACTTGCGCAAAAGTTTAAAATGAGAAAATCAACATTAAAGTTTAAAATCAAATATAGGAAAAACTTATTGCTCAATTTAATTCAAAATTTCAGAGATAATTTATCATATTGTTAATTAATTATAGCCTAAAAAATTTTTAATCAAAAAATTTAAATATAAAATTTATTTGATAAAATCAAAATGCAAGTGAAGCAAATATAACACTTTATGATTTTTTTAAAATGTTATAAATGCTCCATTTCCATTTTTTTAAATTTAATAAATAAATTAACACAATATCTTTATTTATTTTCTAATTTATTCTTACAATTAATAAAAATGGATATAAAATAAATCTAATATTTAATTAATAATATTTTCCATATATTCACTATCAACTCTGAGCATGAACTCTAACATTGATCTAATATCTTTTTTAGTTTCATCGTTTATTTTGCCATTCGTTTTCGGGATCAATTTAATATGCGAAAATTTGTTGTAACTAATTCTTTGTCAAAATTAGGCCTACGTGTTTTTGAATCCTGTAAAATAGACACTTTAATCATATTATTAGATTTAAACGATAATCTATATTGCAAATAAAAAGGTTCCGTTTTTGAAATTTTTATTGATTTTAATTTAGTGAACGGTATGTGGTTAAATTTGAATTTTTTCGAAGCAGAATGGTAATCGAAATAATTATTTGAAGTCATTTCAATTACCTCAAATGGGTTTTTGCGATTAATACCTCTTATTAATCTATAAAGAGTTAGAGGGCTAAGGATCTCATTTTTTCTTAAGCATCTTTCTATTTGGCTATGTATTGAATCAACCTCTTGTAAAATCGAATGGCCTGGAGCACCATATTTGATTTGTATTGTTTCGATTTGACTGGTCGTGTTATTTGCTAAATAATGTTTTAAACCATAAATTATAATAGAATTTTTATTTTGGGCGACACAGGAATCAGCCCGCAGAATTAGAAGAGGGATATTTGGAAATTTTTTTAATATCGCATCTACTAATGCTATCACACTGCAAGCTATGTCATTACCAGTTCTTCCGGTTTGGCCTTGATGCCAAATAGCACAATAACCACGTTTGTCTTGACTGCAATATGCAGTTTCATTATAAACAGATAATTTTCTTTTATAATAAGAAGATCCAACCTCAGATCTTAGTAAGGTTATGACATTTTGAAGGTCAAATGATATGACTAAAATTTTTTTTGACCTAGCTATGATTCTGTCCATACCTCTTTCAATACTCTTCTCAACATAATCGTCATGGTGCTTATTGTAGTTACAAATCTCTTCTTCATTTATATATTCTTTATTAATTAAATACCGCTCACATTTATCGCACCTATCTTTTACTGGTTTAGCAAATCCTATATTAAAACTATTTTTAAATATTGTTGTATAATAATGCGCCTTAACAGGAATTCTCGATAATTCATCACATTTTTTAGAATATAGATCATAAAGTATTTTAAAATTGAGACTTCCATCAAAGTATTCCTTGGAAGAATCTTTTCACCTGTAATGAGAATGGACCTTTGGAGAATGGAGTTTATGTGATCGATGATGAAATCTTTATCTTGATCAGAAATAACTTTTTTAGTATTTTTACCTTTTCTAGGAGCCAAATAAGTTCCAGTATTTTGGTATAAATGTTTAAAAAAATAACTAATTCGTTTATTACTAATATCAAGTGTTTGTAAAAAAAATTGTTTGTAGACTCTAACTTTAACATTCTCCACTTCAAAAAAATATAAGTATGAATAGTTTTTATAATTTAAAGAATCTTTTTTTGATATTGATGTAGGCCTCACCACATTCCCTTAGTCTTTTTCTTTCATTTGCTATGCTTCTAGAAATATTAAAAAATTGTGATACATGCAATGACATATGTCATTGGATACATGTTAAACAATTATTTAATCAAATTTAATTTTATGTAATCTTTATTTAAATTATGAGAAAGGTAATTCAGTAAAATTTTGAGAGTTGGTTCTTAGCCCTGTTTTTATGGTAATGCTTTATTATTTTTTTTCCATGTTTATTTAAAACTAGAAATTAAGGGTTTTATAAAATATATCAGGTTAAACCTAGTCACAACAATAATAACTTAGAAATAAGCAAATATGTGGATGAAGCCACAATTTATATTAATAGAAATCCATTAGACTGGTGGAAATCAATTAAAAATAGATATCCAAAATTATCATTGCCAGAGATTATTTTGATTAAATAAATAAATTTTATATTTACATCACCTAATAAATTTCTAGTTTAAAAAAAGAATTTGGATTCAGTAAAATTTCGAGAGTTGGTTCTTAGCCCTGTTTTTATGGTAATGCTTCATGATTTTTTTTCCATGTTTATTTAAAACTAGAAATTAAGGGTTTTATAAAATATATCAGGTTAAACCTAGTCACAACAATAATAACTTAGAAATAAGCAAATATGTGGATGAAGCCACAATTTGATTAATACAAATCCATTAGACTGGTGGAAATTAAATAAAAATAGATATCCAAAATTATCAAAAATTGCCAGAGATTATTTTGATTAAATAAATAAATTTTATATTTACATCACCTAATAAATTACTAGTTTAAAAAAGAATTTGGATTCAGTAAAATTTTGAGAGTTGGTTCTTAGCCCTGTTTTTATGGTATAATGCTTCATTATTTTTTTTCCATGTTTATTTAAAACTAAAAATTAAGGGTTTTATAAAATATATCAGGTTAAACCTAGTCACAACAATAATAACTTAGAAATAAGCAAATATGTGGATGAAGCCACAATTTGATTAATACAAATCCATTAGACTGGTGGAAATTAAATAAAAATAGATATCCAAAAATATCAAAAATTGCCAGAGATTATTTTGATTAATTAAATAAATTTTATATTTACATCACCTAATAAATTCTTAGTTTAAAAAAAGAATTTGGATTCAGTAAAATTTTGAGAGTTGGTTCTTAGCCCTGTTTTTATGGTAATGCTTCATGATTTTTTTTCCATGTTTATTTAAAACTAGAAATTAAGGGTTTTATAAAATATATCAGGTTAAACCTAGTCACAACAATAATAACTTAGAAATAAGCAAATATGTGGATGAAGCCACAATTTGTAATATTACAAATCCATTCGACTGGTGGAAATTAAATAAAAATAGATATCAAAAATTATCAAAAATTGCCAGCTTGATTAAATAAAAAAAATGAAATTTATTATAACAAACTAATACATAATAATTCAAATATTTAATTTATAATATGTAATAATATAAAATTTACCTCGACATTAAAATAGGAATAGAGATAGTAATGAAAATTATACGATTCAATATGGAAAACAAAAAATTAAAAAAGGAGGGAAATACAACACGTGATTAAATAAGATAATATGATAGGGCATGCATATGAAGCAAAAATTACATCGTTATATGCAAATAGAGCAAAATTGACAGAGCTATAACATTGGCAAAAATTAATATTTTTTAATCTAGTTTTTATTTTTATATATATTAGGAATAAATAAATTATTATCCACTTCTAACTCAAAAATTTTGAAAATGTCGAGTGGAGCACTCCAATTCTAGACCGACGATATATTATTACATTTTTGGCATTGGACATAATCAAGTTTTTTGTTTTTATCATCAAATATGTCTTCAAAATTTCCCATATATTTCTTTTAGCTAAATGGGGCTTACAAATATATGTTCTATTTTTTATATGATTTTTTTAAAAAATAAAATCCATTTTTAAATTATAGTTAAATTTTATAAAAAAAATTACAATTTAATTTTTATAAAATAAATTTTTCTAATTATTATACCAAAAATAAAAGATATATGACATGACATATGGCGCCTAGTTTGTAACTAAATAAAATTAAATATTTTTATCTTACAAATAAAAATTGTTGCCGCCTTGTTTCTTAGAAAAACTTCAAAAGTTTAATTATATATTTATTTTAGATACATGCTATATGGCGTCTAGTTTCTACAAATAAAATTAAATATTTTTATTTTACAAAAAAAAATTGGACCCAATTTATTAATTATATTTTAAAATTTTTTTCAAGGCCGGCCCGATTTTTTTTTAAAATATTAGGCCCGACCCAACCCAAACCCGAATTTAAAAAAGTAGGCCCGAACCGGGTCCGGCCACCGAGCCTAACTTTGCAGATCTCTAAATCAAATAATACCAATTA